AGGAGTGTGCCCTGCACCTTGGTCCTCCTCCAGTTTGGAGGGACATGAGGGGTTGTAGGTCATAATAGAAATCAGTAGCTTGGTTTAATTGAGGGAATTATATGCAGGTAAAATGTCTGGAGTATAGATACAGACAAACTATTGGAATTATTTGTATTTGAGTGCTTTATTATATTGGAATTGCAGTGATATTATTAACATTTGTACAAATGCACAAAAATCCTTTCTCTTCTAGCTAGAAAGAGATGTAAAAATCTGACCTAGTTGAACAGTCTCAATGAACTCATTGTCCATTTGTAACAATAATGGGTTCACAATGCAACAAAAAGCTTAACATAAAATTAAACATATTAAATGCTGCAGCAAGTATTTACATTTATGTACCAAAAAAAAAAGTATCTCCTTCCAGTAAGGAAGGTGGTTGCTTTACAGAATAAAACAAACAGACATACAAACACAAAACCTTTGCATACAATACAAACAACCTCAAGCCCAAAACTTACTGTGACAGCACCTTTTTTTAATATAATATATATATATATATTTATATATAAACTTCGATAGTTTAGGCTTACTCCAAGCAGTGCTAAAAGTTCCTTAAAACCAGGACAATGGCAACAGTCCAAAGAAGCAATGTTCACTGAGTACTACCCAGTGTTTGAAGAGAGCTGCTACAGAGAGAGGGATACAGAGCTCACGGCCATGGGCTGGGAAACACTTGGGTCCCAATGCTAAAGTCCTTGGCAAAACTCTCAGTGGCAATTGTTCTTAACTCAGAAGAGCGAATACACCTTTCTTGCAAAGTAGTTTGTCTTGTGGAAGCATGCTAAAGGTGATCTGTGTCAGGTAACTCCTTGCAGTCTCAGCTCTGTGTGGTGGGGAAAATATTTCTCTGAAATTTCTTAGATTCCAGCAAGGAAAACATTTCACTTGAAATACCCAATCAATCCTCCCTCCCACCTCCCTTGCCCCAGGACACTGCTGCAGTTTCTGCAAAGACAGGAGTTTTCAGTCTTCATTCAGAAGGCTGTCACACAGATTTTTAGTTAAGAAAGATATTTGGGTCTAAGACCCTTACAGCATCAGATGGCAGGCTCTGACCATGGGGTTTGTGAACAGTTCCACCAGGTGAAACTCAGCAATACCAACATTTAACTTGCATAAATGTAGAACTGGAGATCCTGAATCCCAGGTATTACACATTGATCTAAATATAACGAGTTGCACTTATTGATTCCTGTCCAAGGAGAGCCTGGAAAGGATCAGATTTCCACTTAGAGGATCAATCTTGTCTCTGAGTGTGTGTGAACACTGACATTTTTGGCCTCGTGCAGTTTAGGATTTGCTATAAAGTAATTTTGAAAGCTATGGAAAACCAATAATGGTGAGCAATTTAGCTCTTAAGTGTAAAGCCACTGATAAAACTGAGAGATAAATGTAAGCTCTAGGAAAAAAGTAAAAAAGTTATGGATGTAAACAGTCTCTTTTCTCTATGCAGTAAGGTGATGGTTTCAGATGTTGAAAAATTGAACTTTTTTTTTTTTGGTGTTCAAATCACTTGAGATTTTATTGCTTTTATTTGTCCTTAGAAGCTTTTTGTCTCTTCTTTTTTTTTTTTGTTTTTTTTTGTTTTTAAAGGTGCTGTCCCTAGTCAAGTTATAAGGCAACATATTTTATTGATTCAGAACTCTAATACATAGTATGGCCACTGTTACCACTGCAGCTTTGCAGCTACTGTGAGTTGGACAACAGTCAAAGTGCATCACAATGCACAACAGAGCCAGTCTCCTGACCTTACGATATACAGGACACTTTGGTTCTTGGGATGAGAGATTATAAATGTAGCTTAGATGCCGCCTCACATCACACACATTGCATAATAAAACATTTATATGCTGTCATGAAGAGGGTGTAAAGTCTAAGTCACACTGCAGACTGGCTGGTCTCAGCTTCTCCGCTCGGGCAGGTGTGAGAGACAAGTTGTGGATATGCCACCAGTGAAAGCATATAAATGTATCTGGTGCAAAACTTTTACAAGAGTATTTATAAATGATTCAACAAGGGAGAGCAAGAAAGAGAGCAAGAGCTAAAGTGCAATTTTAAAAGAATATAAATAATTGAAATGTAGAAATAAGATACTAATTAGTTGTAACTGGTTTTGTTTTATAGGCACAGTTTAGGTTTTATGTCTACAGATCAATTTTTTTTCTCTTCTTCCCCCTCCAGTAATTTTCTCTGATGTATAATGGAGCTTCAATGGTCTAAATCTAAGGAACACTGCTTAGTAAGAGGACTGAAGAGGCAATGATAAGGCAGTATAGTGCAACTCACTATGTGATACTAGACAAAAAATGAGGATGGGGTTAGATCGTCTGTGGTGATGTATAAAATCAGCCTTAAAAAAAAAAGCAGAAAAAAAAAGACAGGCTTTCCAGTTATATGTTGACTCATGCTTTCTAAAATGAGAAAGCACATTTTGCAATACAAAGGAAACAACTGAAGGTTTATAATTTGTTTCATTGTTACCAAAAAAAAAAAAAAAAAGGAAAAAAAAGCAGATGCTGCTTTAAGGAAAACATTTAATTCTAGGAATTTCTGTACAACTGACCTCAGCAAACTTTTCCATCTTAGATGGATGACTTCTGCTTGAGACCCTGAAAGATTAAGATGCACACACACACCTAGAGTAGTTTATTGCAGAACTAATATTGTAACTTTAAAAAAAAAAAAACAACAAACAGATTCTGTACAAGAATACTGTTCAAATGGAATGTGTTAAAATAACATTTATTAATAAATACTTTATAAAATTCTATGTGAATACTAAATTAATAGATTCCTGTTTTAAAATTGCTTTGGTCCTCATGAATTTTCATAAATTCACTCTATACGCTTTTTTTTTAAAAAAGGTATTAGCTGCTAAAAAGCACATTTTGCCTAAACTAAAAGGCTAACTTTCAACACTAAATATTGTTGCTTAAAAAAATATGAATCCTCAAAAGTCGGGCATTTAACAACAGTTATAGCTGGCTTGTTAGTTAACAGGATTGAGTCATTAACACTAAATCCACACACACTGAGGCACTGAACCATTGACTTTCCACTATTCAGAATATGGGCAGCAGACATTTAGCTTCATAGCAGGAATTAATTCCCAACAGCGTGAAATTCTCCATAAATCCTCATCATCATTGTCATTGTCCTTATAAAACACACCATGATAGCACACAAACTACTTGTCTCCCACAGGCAGCATTATATGAATATGGCTTGCATAAATTGACTTGGGGAAGGGGTGCTGGGGGTGCCAGAGCTGGATCACAGGCAGCATCATTTCTTTCTGATCGAAGTATTGGAGTTCTCCGTGGCTGAGATTTCCAACCTGCTTCCAATGTCACACCCAGGAGATGCTGTCTATGGTAAGGTAACACCTCCTCCTGAACAAGGCACTGGCCAAGGCTCACCACCCTGCGAGTGCCCTGGAGAGTGGATGATGGAAGTGGTCTGAGTTGTCCTTGGCTGTCAGTGGGATAGGGCACAGAGCCTGGTGAGCCCAGCAACAGGCTAGATTGGCAGGGCAAGAGGAAAGTGGAGTAGTCTCCAGAAGTAGCTTGTGGAAAAGCAGGATTCCTCCTTGATGGAAAGAGCCCAGGAAGTGCATTTAGAGTGACGTGTTTAGGAAGAGGCGGCTGCCACTGACCACATGGCAGAAGGACATCCTGGAGACAGAGGGCTGGGGCTTCTCCCACAGCCCTTGCTCAGGCAGTCTCCAGTGCCCAGTTAGACCAGCAGCTTGAGGAAAGGCTGAAGGATCACTCCCCTAGAAAACAAGAGCATTTTAATGTGGAAGCAAATCTGATGAATAATATAAGGTGCCTGGTACAGTTGGTCCTTTTCCCGATGATACAGCCGATATAAATATGCTGCATGTTGTCTTGGCCTGTGAACCTGCGACAGAGTTACAAGAAGCAATAGCAAATAGCTTTTCATCCTTTACTTATTTCCACATCACTAGCAAGGATTATACCTAAAGGCCAATAGTATAGAGAGGAGACATTTCATTGTAATTACACATTTAGGCCAACATGTGTGGTTGGCTTGCCTAGTTAGCATTAAAAAAAGAAATAATTGAGCTATATATAATACACATCAGTCAAACTGTCAAGTTGCTGAATTTAACAAAACTTAGGCAAGGTTTTTGTATTTTTTCCTTTTTTTTTTTTTTCTTTTTAATGTAGAGGCTTTCATTTTAACAGCTAAATATTTTAATTGAGGAGAATGAATAAAATGAAGCTAAACCGTAATTCTAGTGCAGTGTAGCTCAACTGGGTATTCTAATATTACCAACAACTTTGATTTTTATTTTTTAATGTGTTTAAGTGCTACCCATATAGAGGGAAAGTTTTTTAAATTAACCCTGCAATGGCATTTCCTTTTTTGATGGTGAATGATGAAATTCAGATGTAGGGGAAATGCTTATTTGGGTTTTTTACAGTGGATACTCAGCTGGAACATTTTTCTCGACTGAATATTTGAAGAAAGTTCTCCTGGGAGCCATGACGAAGCAAAACCATTTAGCTATTACAACTGGAGATTAAAAAAAATTATAGATTCAGTATTTAAAACACTTTAAAAGTATATGTTTGTCTAAAATATAATAGAAAATCCTTTACATTTGTATTTTTTCATAATTTTTTTTGGTTCTTAGACTATATAATCAAGTCAAGATTTACACTGTACATTAAAAATCTTCTTCTTTTGAATGTATTTGCATAAATGGAAAGTGAGCTGTTAAAGAAAAGAATACTGATAAAAAGTTAGTCACCAAGATAAGAACTAATTCAGCAATGAGTGATGCTCAGAAATTTGCTTTCCCTTCCAGAGAGGCCCTGCTCCTTACAGTGCCTCCTCACACTTCAGTTGTTTCACTCTTCCTCCCACATGGAGAAGACCCACCCTTTTAAAACCCATGACTCCTCCAAAGACCAAAGGCACAGTCTGAGCCTGCTCCCTGGGCGAGCAGCAGGAGGTTTTGCCGCTGACGGATTTGAGAGCAAAATCAGGTTCCAATATACAGCAAGGCAGCATAATTAACTGGCATCATCTCTGTCTGATTTTCCCATCAATCACTGGGACCACTCGGGGATGCAAATCAGTTGTGCTGAGGGGCAGGCTCAGAGTCCAAACAAAAACCTTAATTGTGGCATAAGGCTCTTTTCCAGACCCTCTCTGCAGGACTGTATTTTATCCCAAGTGTGGGACTTGGCATTCTTGCAGCATTTTTTAGCTGCTGCGTGCCTTCTAAAAATTATTTAGCGTCCTAAAGAACAATTCCTTACCCGCACTAAACGGGTGTTAAGTGCCATTAAAGTCAGTGAAGCTACACTGCTGTCTGCCAGCTTGGGATCAGTTTGTGAACGTTTAAAGGAATGCCTGCAGAGAGAAGGTCTTTCCCTGGGAATTAAAAATGGCATTTTTCCAACTGGTCAGAACCATTACACTGATTTATTTCTCATTTATAGCCCATGAAGCCTGAGGCTGTTAGTTTTCGTTGCTAAAACAACGCAACCAGGTTAGGGAACAGAACTTTTCCAAATTATTATATACACATGGATTTTCCTACATTAATGACTGGCAGTGCAAAAAATTGCTGTAATTCTCAGGTGTTGCTCACTATGCCTCTACTGCACCACAGAAGCTTACAGGGCTGCTAGCATCAACACAGCTGGCTCACCATCCTGCTTCACCTGCGGCTGTGCTGTTTTCGCCTTTCCCTATTTATTAAAAACACTAAATCAGGAGCATTTGTATTTTTTAAAAGCCAAATGCTTGGCGCAGCTCAACTGCGGGTGAAGAGCTAGTGAAAGCAGCAGCCGTGCCAAGAGTTTTTAGGTGGGCTTGAAGTTTTTGCTTGTTCATTACCATTCTTTGAGAAAAAGAGGGAAGTGAGAAAGCCTTGGAATAAAAAAAAAAAAAAAAGCAGGGAAAAAAAGCTGGGAAATGAAAAGGGAAGGGAAAAGGAAGGTGTGAGAATAACTGGAGGAGAAAAAGGCCAGGGTAGGGGAGAGAGGAGAAGGGGGAGGGCTAGACAAAAAAGCATGCTATTTGGGCTTGATTTTGTCCTGAAGCCACATCCTATATAACTGCTCTGAAAGAGGCTCTGAATGCGAGACGTGGTCTGCTGATAGCACAACGCTAACTCTTTTTTATTATGCTGTCAGCAGATGCCCTCGCTCTATATTTATAGCCTAATTACTCCTAGTTACCTATGTTTGACTCTGTTTAATACTTTTCATGCCTCACATTGGCTAACAAGCTGCAGTTTAACACAACTTTGTATTTCTGAGGCTGCAGGCTAGACTGGTGAGAAGGAAACATGACTATGTACAGAAACAGTTAGGTTTATAAACAAGTAACTGGTACCAAAAAATGGAGAAAGCACCAAAGCATTTCCCAAGCTGATAGCATATTAATTGCGTAACTCCCTTTTATGTAACTAAGTATAAAAGACATTTTAATAACTATAAAAATGAATAGCCAGAGTCTTTCAAGAACTGAGGAATCTTCCAGGCTTGAGTTATGGTTGTGAATGTCCTTAGCAGAGAGGACGCTTTGATACGGTACCACACTCCCCCAGCAGTTTCTGATCAACCACTTTTAAAGGATGGGGTTGATGTCTGTTCTGTGGCTGGCAAGCTGGGTGAGAGTGGAGCTTCCCACGACGTCACTGACGGAGGAGGAGGTCGTTATGGTGTTGTGCTGGATGACTTGCTGCTGGGAGCAAGCTGGGACCGGGCTTGCAGGAGGGCTGCTCTCAGGACCTGGGAAGGGAATGAGGGCACAGAGACAGCACACATTCATTTTTCCATCCAAGTAAAAAAACCTAAGCTGGGTGATACTCTTGGAAATACTGATGACCTGAAGCATGCACACGTCACAGTATTTCAAAATATAATTAGTTATCCAACACTCTCTGTCTTAAGGTTGCTTTAGTTTTCGATATTTTTATTTCATGCCAGCTTCTCTGATAGCAACCTGACTTCAGGAGCTGAGACCTTGAAAAAAGTCCAAGACCTTAATAACTGAAACTAATGTTGGGATAAAAAGTCTGATATCTTAAGGTCCTTAAAATCAGTTGGGATGCTTAAATGCTTTATTTGTTCCAGCAGGAATCAAAATTAGAGTGCAGTGCGCTGTAGCACAGAAAATCTAATTCAAGCAACAGCTGATAGGCATGTAATGCAATTACGTATTTTTTTCTTTGAGTACTGTTAAAGAGACAGATGCACAGTGGTGCAGAGGAGACAGAAATGGGCTCTATTTTAAAACAATGTCACAATCTAGCAAGCCCTGAGGCTCTTCTGAACCATCCTAGAGCAGAACAGAGAATTTGTCTCTAAATTACTGCACTTACAAAATGCATCAACTAGAAAGAATTGATTAAATGTCTCTGTTAGCTGAGAAAGTTTTTGGGAAAAAAAAAAAAAAAAAAAAAAGAAAGAAAGATGAGAGTTAAAAAAGAGTTAACAAACCTTGAAAACCTGCGCCAGGCCTGGTCTGTGCCACTGTCAGAGCACAGTACCATTTTCGCTGGAGGGGACTGTAATGTTTTCCTTTTTAACTTTCCTTTTGAGAGTTATTTTAAGGTTCTGGCAGCACCGTGCCCAGGAGGACTCTTGCAGGTTTGGAGCTGTGAGTTCAGGCAGGATCCTCCACAGGGGAGTGAGCGTCCATCCGTGTGCATCTCCTTGCCGAAAGGAGGGGTGGGGAAGACTAGCTCTGCTGTGTGGGATGCAAACCGGGGCTTTTTTGGTTTTGAGCGGGGCTGGATAAATAAGGGCAGGAGATTGGATGGCTCGGATGATGTTTGAGAAGACAGGTTCAAGTGATAATATGACCGAGAAAGGGTTCTGGAGGGAAGAATTGGAAGGTTTGCTTTCCTGTGAGGAGTGTGGAGACAGCACGAACATACCAGCTACTTACTTAGATATCCTTGTGATTCTTTCTGCATAGCTGTTATCGGACAGTCTTTATGTGTTAACAATAACTGTTTCAGCTGTGCTACCTCATTTTTCAGCATGGAAACCTCGTTCTAGAGAAGAAAGAGAGACTTTGGTTAGCAACAAAGCTTAAACCAGGCTGTTACGCTAAGCTTAAACCCAAGAACACAAAACCTGTTCTATAACTTCGAAAGAACTGAGAAAAAAAGGCATTCAGGTGCTTGTGTGCCGAGTTTATGTTAACATTTTTCAGTGACATTATTTTGTAACCTCTGAAGGCAGTCTGACAAATGAATTAACTTCACAACACCAGAGATACTTAAAGCAATGTTTCAGTCCACTTGGGAAATGCTGGGGCTCTCTGTATGAGGCCAGGGGCAGACCCATGGGGACAAAGGCCACGTTGCCACGCTCAGGGGCACAGTGGCAGGACTGCTGTCACCTATAGCTCAGCTGCAGCCAGTGCCTGGATGATGCTCACACCTCTGAGTTTTGTGGGAGAACATTTTGGAGGAGTGCCATTCTACAAATGGTTTTCTGCCCTTGGCAGCGCACAGGCACACCTCTGCATGAAGCAGAAGTACTGCGCCTACCTTAAGAAAGACAGCACTATAAGAAAGGCTTTTATTATCATATTAGAGGTATTTTCATCTATCCAGTTCATTTTCCTCACTGATAGACCGATCTTTTTGTGCTTCTATCTCTCTGGCTTTGAATGAGGGTTTAACTGCATACCCTGCTCTGAAGAAATTTTTTACAGACATGTTAATGGCACTTCAAAAAAAAAAAATCCGCACAAAAAGCAGTGGCAAGGAAAGAAAATAAATACAACTCCATCTACTGAAGGCTTCTAAGTCCCAAGACAGCATTTTCCTGGCTTATCCTGCTAAAATGTAATTATTTCTTTAATTGAAGCACACACATCTTGATTAACAGACTGATTATGCCTGAGCTCCCACTAGGAGCTGACTGTGCAGGGGCAGCCCCAAAGGCACCGTCAGTCAAGCACAAAGAGCCCCTCTGTGTCTTCAGGGGCACAGACAGTGGCTCGCACCTGAAGCTGCATGTTTGTCTGGGTGAGCTCTTCTGCTTTCTTTTCCAGTGACATCACCCAGACCTTCCTCTTCTGTCTGCAGCGCGTGGCAGCGGCTCGGTTCCTTTCCAGAAATTTCCGCCTCCTCTCATCTGGGTCTTCGTCCACCACCCTCCTCCGGCGACCTCCAGTCGGCTGTGGTGGCTGTACCGTCTGCGTGGGCTGCATCTGCTGCGCCGCCGGCGAAACCTGCGGGGCAAGAAGATGTTTCACAGGGGGTGGTGGGGGGGGAAGTTACAGAGGGGGATGCTGAAATGGGAAGGGAAATCTCATGCACTCTGCCTGCTCCCCAGCAAGGTCTGCAACAGGCTCAAGTCAAAAGCTGTACCAGGTGCCACTGAAAGCAGCTGCTGGCAAAGCCTTGCCATGGTCAAAGGGGAGATTTATTTAAAATGATCCTCTGAACGTTTTTTCATCCTTGAGTTAGTTCTTAAAAACATTCACTTATATGCATTATCTGACACCTCCTATTTCAAACCTGAAATGTCCAGTTTCTCTCAGGATCTGTTTTGATCAGACGACTGTAGTAGTCTAATTTCCATGTCTCTCTCCCCTTGGCCCTCAATTGCCTCCAAAATTTTAGGCCTTTCCTATTTCCCAAGCTTCACCATCTCCACCTCAATCTTTGCCATCTCTGGAGACAGGAGCTGCAGAGCTCTTCACGCCTGCATGGAGTTGGGAAGCTGTGGGCTGGGATTGCACAAGGACAGCAGACATCACTGACCCTCAGGGGCAAAGAAAGAGTTTAGGTTGAACCTGTGTTTTGATGAATTGAGCTTGAACCTGTGTTCTGATGTCCCTGCACTGCGTGGATAAAGGATATTCTTCTTACCAGTTTTCATCTAACCTGTGCTGTGGACGCTATACGTTTTTTTATTCAATTTATCCCTGGCTTTGAGAGCAAAGGAACACCACATCCAGTCCACTGCTACGAAACTACAGAAAAAAGATCTACTTATGCTTTTTCAAGTGCAGGAGAGTATTGATCTTGCTCCTGAGAGTAACTGGCCCGCAATATTACAGAAAAGGTGAATGGTGGGGGCAGTGCCATGTAAACTATTCTCCAATCAACTCTTGGGCAGATGGAACATTCCCATGTCCCTGTCAGGAACCAGTGCCAGATTTAATGTGACTGCCTGGGAACAGGCTTTTGGACTACTCTCCTGCCTCTGTGGCACCTAGGCTACAGGGTTCTGGAGACACCCTCTCTCTCCCTCTGCTTGTGGTCTGGGAACCCAGTCCATGGATCATATTGCTCACACGCAGCTCTCATTGCTGCCGCCACTCCAGCAGAGTGTGGAACAGTCTGGAAACTTGAATTGTTGACTCAAAATTAACCCTCTTGTTCTGGCAAAGCCCCAAACCTCTAAGGTGCTTCCTTTTGACTCCAGGGAGTGGACGTACTCGGTGCTTTGTCAGACTGATCCCTGAATTTCAACTGCTGCAATTAATGTGTTTGCCTAACACCTCTGTCTCTCTCAATTAAAATGATATTATCGTCTTGAGTCTTGCGAAGTTGAGGTGGCTTTTCAGCCTAGAATCTAGTTTGCTCCCTCCCCCATCTGACTTGTGGCAATTGCAGTGGCAATTTTATGTGTAATTATTCCGTACATCTGATAATGCTTTTTGCATAAAGCCAAATTCATTCCCAGCTTTATGTTGCACTGTCAGGGAATCTCTCTCACAGGAGCAGAAAAAATTGGTTTTTAAAGAATAGCCTTCTAAAAATAAATAAGCCACCTCACATTTTCTGACTGATTTTTAAAATTTCAGCTTGCATGGACTCCATGCATGATAAAATATTCATAGGTTTGCTGATAAAATCTTCAACACCCTGTCCACACTGAGGTTGGAATGCAGGTCCATGGCAGCTGCAGTGGGCACAGCCCCCATTCTGACCAGCATCCTCTGGCTTCTGCCAGGACACTGCTGCCAAGGGATTCCAGCTGCTCCCTGTCCACCAGGGCTGGGCATGCTGCCTCTTTAGCAGCATGCCTGAGTGTAGAGATCTCAGAAATACCTTTTAATGTCAACATCTCATCAGAGACCTTTCGTTTTCTCACGCATAACACCTTTCCAGACTTCAGAGATCTGTTAATTATGTTTCCTTATCCCTTTTTGCTCCCTTTCCATTCAGCTTTAAAAATTCTTCTTCCTTACCTCTCTCAGTGAAGTCTGATACAAAGGCAGAAAAAAGTAACTACACAATTTTATTTTTTTTTTTAATTCCTCTCATATGGTCATATTCTCCTGAATGACTAGTGAATAATTTTGTTTTCAGAATATACCAGGCAGTCTCTGGGTAGTCAGAGTGCATTTTCAGAACAACAAAATCTTCTCTCCATCTTAGGAAGATATTAATTATAAGGGCTGCCATTATTCCACTAATAATGTCATGTGGGATAATTAACTGACTCTTACTTGATAGCTCTTAACCCTGAAATGTTAGACTATATCTTAGTAACCATCTAAGCATCATTCTCTAGCAAGATTTCATTGCCCTGCCTAGGACATAAGAAAGAAAATGAACTAAAGATAAAAATATAGGTTAATTTTGGTGTTCTTAGAGGATGCTAATCACGTATCCATAATGAAGACAAATATAGGACAGCTAAGAGAATGAAATGGCATCCAAACCCCAACTCTGCTTGAGCTATTACTCTGGCAAGTTTGATAGAAAGAAATCTTTAGAGGACCAATACAGAATAATAGTATAATTTTTGTAGTAGTTGAGGCAGCATAGATAGAACTTGGTAGAGTATCTTTCTTTCTCAGAAAGATACCTGTCAGAAGCTGATTTCCACTTTTATTCAATATTTATTTTTGTTCTTTGCAATTTACCACAAAACTAACACCCATTCACTCATTCTATGAAAACGTAATGGCTTGGGCTCCTGTGTATCAAAATGGTAGCTGAACAGCATGAAATCAATTCTAAGATTACAGAAGGCCACGGTGCAGAGTAACAACAGTCTCGGCATGGGAGTATGCAGCTTACAGCAGCATGGACCATTCTGTCATCTGGCAGGTGGTTTGGAATGGAAGAATCTAGCTCAGAAGAATAAGGAGGTTAATAATTAGAAAATCGCACCATAAAATTAACGTCTGCTGGAGCAATCTGATCCCCAAAGAGGCCATTACCATGGGGACTATGGATGAGCTTTGAAAATAATAACTATGTGGTTATTACTCAGCAAGCCCTTTTTTTCCCCCTTCCACTGCATCTGTTCAGAAATCACTATTGCCTTTGCACCAGATGAGCAGATGCACAGCTAGAGCTCTGCTGCCTGGGGAAACCACTGACCCTGGGATTCCTACTCCATCACCCTCTGTCTGATCCCCTTGGTGACACTTACACCCATGGACAAGGTGAAGATCTCCTTGATCTCCCATGGGGTCTGTTGCCTCCAGAAAACAGACAGTGCATGGCAAAGCTTATTTGACTACACAGACCTAGCTCCAGAGACTGTGTGGTGCTGGACACAGGGTGACCCTGACACAGCTTTGTGGCTGCCAGTCAGCCCACCTACCCATGTGCCTGCCTGGAGAGTCTTTTGTGGTGCCTAGCTAGCGGGGAATACAAAGCACAAGAAGCTGAAGCTGTCCTAACTGGGTAAGAAAGTCAAGGCACCTATTCATGTGGGTATAGGGGAAGGCCATTGGCTCTTATCTGATCTTATCCTTAAAACTGTGACTTTGTTTCCCCGTGGTAGCTGTTTCCCCTGGTAGTTTTCACCCATTTAAAGTGGTGATGTAGATGTTTTGCAGCAGTGCTCTATACCATGGGATCTGATGCCCTCAACTGCATTAACATCTTTATCCTCCCAACCCCTCAATAAAGGTTAAATGACTTCGCCCATGTCATCCATGGAGTCCTCAGTTTGCTAAGCACAACTTTATCCTTGCTCCCTGAGGGATCTCCAGTACAGCCATCAGGTTACTTTTGGTTTCTCTGATATGAGATGGTGTCTTTTTTATTGGAGTTTTTAAACAACTCCAAGGAAAATAACTCATTAACAGATGGGAAAATAATTGAATTCACAAAGTAAAAACTGAAGTAAACTTAGGAAAGCTCTGGACATCTTCTCACAGGGGAGTCTGCTCCTCTCTTACTTAGACTGTTTTCTCTAAAGCTGACAATTCATTTTACATTAGCAAATACTTAAGGGAAATTCCATGTGCTTGCAGACTCTGCAGTAATAAAGCTAGATGTTAGTAAATAGTTAATGTTGTGGGACACTGGGATGTCAGCCAAATACTCTCATTTTCTTTAATGTTTTCTAAGAGCTTGTCTGAAAGGTATTTGCAAGCAACACAATACTTCACAGATTGAACTTCTTATGGCTGGCATTCCTCTTTGTGCTGACATTCCATGCACTGCCTGTTTGTCTTCTTAACTTTGCTCTCCAGACCTGACATGTTAGAGTGACTTCCCCCAGAGCTTTATTTTCTTGTGCAATCCTGATGCAGAAGCCTATCATCAGACATTAACAAAATTCCTGTTAAAAATGACTCTGCTGAAGTTTGTGCTCATTAGCTCATTAGTTCAAGAAACATTCAATTCAGATATTGAATTATCCAAATTGCTGAAGCCTGGTCCAAAAAATGGAGTCCTCCACCTCATTCAGTGGAGACCTTCACTGACTTGTCACATGAATACAAGTCTAAATTGCTTTCTTTTTTTAAATCTCTCTCCTTGGACTGGCTTCACCCTCTTTTCTTCTCCTGCCACAACATACACCAACAGCTGATTTTTCTCTCATTCTATGCAGATGTCTGTCCTGTTCACAGGGTCTGGACCAGTTAATCTTTTCTAAGACAGTGTATCCTAACTTAGAACCACTTCTAATATCTCCAGTCTTGGATACCCCACCCCCGGCCACACATACACATACCAGTGCCATTTCATTTCACTAGAGACTTTGTTATGTATTTCTGCAGGTAGAACTCATACAACTTGTTAAATCTTGGCCTGAGAAGTTCAGGTTCAAGCACATTAAGCAACATATATAACATGCCAATCTCTGTAATAAACCTCATCCGTAAAAGGATATGTGGCAATCTGCAGAGCTCAGAGCACTGAAAAGCCTTGGAGCTCCTTATAAAGTAAGAAATTACAAATGTCTAGTAAATTAGGCAGCAAAACAAGTTGTTGCTTCACTCCATTTTCTAAATAAAGTTTGAGCATCCCCATCACCATTAGCACACATTTACAAGCAGCCCGAGGGGCTTGTATCTAACAAGACATGCATGCAAGAAGAAACAATACTGAGTTCAGGCTTTAACTCCATCCAACAGCAAAACTCAGCAACGCAGCAGGACATGAAGGTCTACCTGTGCTTGTCCGCCCGAGTGCAGCGGGGGGTGCGGTGAGGTCTGGTGGTGTGCTGGGTGTGCGTGAAGGTGCGAGTGGGAGTGGTGGTGGGGATGGTTCTGCTGGTGATGAGGCTGAGGATGAGGATGGTGTGCCGGATGCTGGTGCTGATGTGGGTATGAATGATGAGGTGGCAGTGTCTGGTGCTGATGAGGATGTGAGTGCATATGATGGTGCGGTGTCTGGTCCTGTCGCGAGCTCATCATTTCCATCATGTGGCCCATGGTGTTCATATTCCCGTTCGACATGGCAGCAGGATGATGAGTCAGTGCTGCCTTCAATCTCTGGAACAGAACAAGGCAGAAAATTCAACATTTGTACATGATGATCTGACCAATCAGAAATGCTGTTGCAGAAATGGTGCCCTGTCTTGTGTTTTGAGATTTATTTAGTTTTTTTTCTCTTGCTGTTCCTTTGATAAAAGCCATCTTACTTCAGTTTGAGAAAGAACACATTCTTGGGCTCTAATCTAGTTTTCCACTTTAAATATTTACAGATACAAACGTCTGAATTGAAATGTAACAGTTACAAATTTCCTACTGTGCCTGTGAGGAAAAATAACTGTCTCTTTGGCCAGCTGAGTAGGGTTAACTTCATCAAGCTTGTATTCTTGCAACTTTTAAAAATTAAAGTCTGATTAAAATAAAGACACAACAAAGTGCCTGTCTTGTTTCTACTTCAGGTATTATTTAAAAGATTTATTGGAAAATACATTGCATTGATGTATTTTTCAAATTCAGGTGTCCTAGTTCTTTCCTCAAAAAGATGGGAAAACAATGAGGGTGGCCTCAACCTGATCCTCCTTTGCTGAAAAGTTCAAATATGTGTTGTCCTTTATTACATGCTGACTTCTCTCTGTTTTGTATGCCACATGTCACTGGATTGGGCCCTGGAATCTGTCCAGGGCAAAACTTTCCCTTTTATCAATGGAATTTGTCCACTTTCACCTGAACACAACTAAAGGCCAGTGGGAAAGGTTGGTCCAGGTTTGGGCTGTGGCATAGGGCCTTTGTGTACAAAGGATATTGTGGAAATACAGAATAAAAAAGTTCCCTTTCAGTACAATTACAGGGTTATCCCAAAGCTGTGAGCTGTACTGGCATATTACTGAAATTGCTGGCATCCTTCATGAGTGTGCCAAAGGTAGAGCTTCTCAGATGCCAGCTAGGATAAGAGTTTCTTCCAAACCCATAGAAACCTCCTTCACATCCATGGTTCTGCTTCTTGCTCAACATAGAACATTATCTACAGGCAGCTACCCAAGCCCTCTTTAATTCCATTTTCAAAGAAGTCAATTGATTTACTCTGACTTGTGCAAGTAATTAGCAGAAAATGTTAAGATAAAGAAGAAAGGAAGGAGGTGCATAGTATCACTTGATGCCAGACCAGCACAATTTGAATAACCCATCAACTACCTCCTAATTCATTACCAAGCCAGAGGATAGAATGAATAGCAGAGAGCTCATCTGTAGGAGATGTCACCATAGGACAGTCAGTAAAAAAATGCAGTGGCAGGGAGAGATGAATGGTAGGAGGCACAGAAGTGAGCCTTTCCTCACAGCAGTATCTATCTGTGGGTCACAGATGATTGTCAGAAGATCCTATAAGCCAATGTGACAAAAAATGCCAGCAGAGGAACAATGGGCAGGCTGAACTGCATCTTTAAAGCAAAAAAGAGTGACTGCCAGGATACTCAGAACTTACAGATGGGGATTTCAGTCTATTTTGTATTGAGATAACATCTGTCTGTTGCAACACTGCAAAGGTAAAGGCTTCTGTTTTCAAAGCTGTTACTGTGTTGTATTTGTACAACTGTGAGTGAGAAATAAACAAATTCTTAAGAGGAAAAAATAAAAGAAAAATAGAAGAAAAAACAAAAGAAGGTTGTGGAAGGGAAAAAGAAGTAACATTCAATTCGAATGTCATCCTCAAGTTTTTGTATACATGTGCTTTTTCAGACTTCATGAAGGTCATTTTACTGAGACTCTCTTAATAGACCTATTAATCTAAATTTGGTGACTTCTTTCACTAATGATCAACTGTCTGACCAAGACTTAAAAAAAAAAAAAAAGGATACATTTGCAAAACACATCTCAGTTTGCAAGAATGAAGTCTAGACTAATGTCTTTTAAGAAGTTTCCTTTAAAAAGTCTATCAAACCATAACTACATGGTGTCATCACCCTGATGATCTTGCTTTAATAGAGATCAAAGGTGACAGTGCCAGTGGGGTTAAGTACCTCCTTCTCTACCTCTAAAGTCAGAACAGAGAGCAATCTAGTATCAGTAGCAGTAACCCATCCTGGGCATCAAATGGAGGACTGGAGCAGCTGTTGTCCTTAAGGTTCCTGAATTCCAGTGCCACCCTGGTTACTGCAAGCAGCTCCTCAAAAGGCTCAGAATAACTGGTGTTACCCAGGAGCGTACTAGGAAATACGGAGGGCAATGCATTAATAAGTCAAGTCTTTGTGTCACGTTTCTTCAACACTCACTAAAATATTGTTCATGGAGCTGAGCCACCATGCATGTCTAAGACAAAGCACCAACAAAAACTGTTGTAACTTTGTTTTCTAAATCTAAATGCAAAATAACCAAGCTCTCATTAGCCAGCAGTTTTATGTGACAAATACCTTACAAAATCTACCATGTCTATTTGTCAAAGACCTCTGAAGCTGAACTACAGTATGTCTTCTAAACTGCAGACTTTCAAAGCAAAAGAAAAAAGAAGAAAAAACTTAATCTGTGGATAAACTTTTTTTTCAGCTGTAAAAACTGAGGCTTACTAGTGTGGTGCAACTTCAAGGGGAATAAATTATTTTGTTTTCTTTCTGTAGCCCTTCTACCACATCCATTTATTTGAGACAACAAATCAAGAGAGACAGTGAGAGGTCTGACATGCAGCTGGTTTCAGTCAATAGGGGTCATTTCCATTTGGTCTGTGTATTTTACAAGCTCCTTGTTCACTGTTCCCAATGGGAGGGTGGGCCAGCTGCCCTGGATCCCAGTCCTGGTAAGAAACCAGCTCTCTACATTATCCTGTCCTCAGTGAGATCAATTGTTTTTGATATTTTAGTTAGAGCAGAGGGAGGGAAAATCACTAGAACTTGGTATAAACTCTTTGCACTGAGTATGTGTAGCACTCAAAGGGCAGGCGGCAGTTTTGTTATTGTTTCTTTTATGTGTGTTAATTGCAAGCAGCTGTTTTAGTTTAGTGTCAAATAAAATATGATGGCATAAAAATTGAGCTTATTGGACTGACGACACCACCAAATCCCCTCTAGAATGAAATGGTAACTCAAGATCCAATTCTGCGGACGTTCAGTTTTTTCAGGAGCTGTGTGACTGACTTCACCAGAGCCTGCAGGAACCTGGGAGTTTGCAAATTGGGACTGAAACAGAAGACTTGCTACTCAGACCTGCTTTCACCTAAACATAAAATATCTGCTAACCTCATACCAGTGATTTTTAGGGCACAATCACTTTTTTCTCCCTTTTTTAAGGCAATTAAAAAAAAAATATCCACCAAGCCAAGAGGAAATGGAGCTCCTCATCTTTACTGACTTTTGGGCCTTACTGATTATTTTTATTATTCTATCAAAGTAACGTAGTGGCCAACATCAGTTATAGCTAATTTCCACTCAGTCACAACATTTCAGTAAACAACCATGAGTGACACAGCAAGAGAAATCTTTCACAGAGGACAGCCTGCTTTGCCTCTAATAAAGTGAATAAATAAAATTCCCTTTTGATCCTACAGGATGTCAGAAGCACTTATACTTTCATCTTTGATGCTGAGGAGGAAACAAAATCCACCAGTGGATATTGGTGCTTCACAGGTATGGGCATTGTGTTCCCTGTACAGAACAGGCTCCCTGTGGCAATGCCCCTAACTGACACATTTACTCTGAAGCCACCCCACTGAATGCCAGATGAAGGTAACAACTCAAAGAAGTTATCCTTGTGCCTGGAGTATTGTGGGTTTTTTGAAACAAGAGTGTTTTCACAGTGTTTCCTCCATCTGACATCATAGTGCAGTTAATTGCTTGATGATTCCTTTTATCAACATGGATCCTAACTTATACACTGAACATCTTTGGACAAACCCCAAATCTGCCAAAAATAGCCTTGAAGCATTTGAGATCCTTAATGAGAAACAGTATCAGCTTCCCTAACACTTTTGCTATTCTGGATTTTGCTGCTTTCTAATTTTCCTCAGTTGCAACATGTATTTCAAAGTTGGCTTGGTTTTTGCCCTACCTTTCTTTCTCAAAAATTGCTAGTGAAAACCAGACAGCATTTTTTTGGTTTGTTAAAAGAAGGAAAAAAACCCACCAAACTGTAAATTTGGAGGTTGCTTTTCCCACATTTAAAAATGCAAATAATTTTGTGGGTTTCACATGTGTATTAATACTTAAAATATTTAATCATTATTTATAACATTTGTGTAATGTTATCTTTAAAACAGGCATATTATATGCCATAATCATATATATGACTATAAAATACAACTTTCTCCCATTCATATCTCAATGGAGAAATGACAACAATATTCAATTTTACAGGTGCTCTGTGCTTGTATCAAACAGTAAGCTATTATAACACTATGCTGAATTTTAGGTTGGGACAGACATGGAATGTTGGTTTTGAATAGGACTGAATTGTTCCAGATAAATATGCATTGCTGCACTCAGAAAAAAAGCTCTCTTCCCTTCTGGTCTGCATGCCCAAATCCCACTAAATTAGAAAGAGACAAGACCAGCTGCAGTATCTAGTTAATGTCTGGTATATTCTTATCAGGAGATTATATCAGACCCTGGAAGGCACATGAAATATGATCTCAAAGATATTTTCTTGCACTAGCGACTGTGATTCTAGTCCCTATTATACAAGGGTTTAATCAGTTCCCCACAGGGGACAGAAGAGTCTAGAGAGGGGAAATCAGAAAGGATTACAGACATCAAGCATCACCACACATCTGCAATTCAGTAGCAACCTCACGGTAATGATCTTGATTAGCCAAACTTCATGGCAAGCATACCGTTGACTTCAGTGTCACTAATATTGTTTTCTCATCTGCAACAGTCAAGCTTGCCTTTTAACTCTAAGCATCATACCCAAAATGAGTATACAGAGTTAAGCCAGTGACAGCTGGCTGTCAGAACTTCACCCAGCACATTTCAGAGCATCACACCGAATTTTATCCTTTCCTTTAACTATGATTGCGACAAGAGAACTTAGCATAAATGTCACCCAGGTCTTCTACAGTTGGCTGCTGACAAGCATTT